GGAAGTACATCCTCTGCTGGGCCTTCTTGATGAGGAGCTGATGGTCGGCTCCCACTTGAGGTCCTGGGTGATGGTGGTGCCCAGGAAACGGAAGGACTCCACAGAGGTGATGGGGGAGTCCATCACGGAGGGTGGGTGGAGGTGCAGTGGTTGGTGTACAGGGAGAAGAGCAGGGGAGAAAGAACACAGCCCTGTGGGGCTCCTGTATTTATAATCCGAGAGTCCGAGACATTCTTCCCCAGACGCACTCGCTGCTTCCTGTCCGTCAGGAAGTCAGTGATCCACCTGCAGGTGGAATCGGGCACGTTGAGCTGGGAGAGCTTGTCCTGGAGCAGGGATGGCAGGATTGTGTTGAAGGCAGAGCTGAAGTCCACGAACAGGACCCTGGCGTAGGTCCCCGGGGAGTCCAGGTGCTGTAGGATGTGGTGGAGGGCCAGGTTAATGGCGTCGTCTACAGATCTGTTTATAATCTTTAATACATTTACAAAACATTAAAACCTTACAAAGATTGAATTGAAAAGAAACCCGTTACATTTCCATGGTCACATGACCGTTGGAATTAAATGCCCCCTCCCACCCCAGAGTCTAATTATGAGGAAAGTTTTCAAACAGTTCATCCCTGAGCCTCACCCTGAGGTGCTCCTTGAATTCCCCCAAAGTTTCACTAGAGACACAGTCAGAGTCCAGCATGTTCCACATTCTGGTGGCCAGAGTGAGACACGATCTCTGCATAATATGGGCGCTGGGCAGTGTCCCGTCCGGAAAAGCACAGCTGACCCAGCGCACATGGTATGGCAGGACTCTTTGTGTGGGTCGGTATGGTCCCAGCGCCGCAGGCGAGAGTCCATGGAACAGTTTAAAACCAAAACATGCAAGAGCAAAGTTCCGCCTTGTTTGCAAGGTTGTTAGTCCGAGCGCTCTATAATGCTCTGCTGTCAACTGGGCACGATACGGCAGATTTAGAATAATGCGCATGCATCTTCGTTGGATGCTCTCTAAACAGTTTATCAGAGTCTTTCCTATGCCACAGATCAGCACTGAGCAGTACTCTAGTCAGGATCTAATGTATGCTTTATAGATCCGAAGCAGGATTTCTTTACTTTGTGGTGGTAGTTTTGATTTTAAGAGCCTCAACACAAACATTTCCTTTCTAGCCCCTTTACACAAGTCCTCAACATATCGCTTCAATTTCAAATCACTGCTGATTGTTATCCCCAAGTGCTTTGTCTCACTTGAGAAGGAGATGTTGTGGCCCTCAAACATGACTTGACCATCTATTTGTTTATTAACTGGCGCTTTAGCAAAGCACAAGCATACAGTTTTTGAAGGGTTGAATTTCATACCCCAGGTGTTGGCCCAACTGCTTGCAGCAGCCAATGCACAGTTCAAACCTGCAGCCGCGAGGGCTGGATATGCACTAGTGACAGTTAGTAAAGTGTCGTCCGCATATGCAGCTGGTGTAACTCTTATACTGTCTGGTAACAGCCCAGAAAGCTCCTCCAATGCATTTAATAAATCATTTAAGAAGATAATAAACAGTGTTGGAGCAATAACACTGCCCTGGGGTACTCCAGACTGCACTTGAAGAGGTGAGGAAAATAAAGACCCAACTCTTGTTTGTTGCTGGCGAATACTTAGATAGTCGCGTATCCAGGCAAGCATTTTTCCTTGGACTCCAAATGCTGGAAGTTTGTGTAAGATAGCCTTGTGTGGAACCGATGTGAATGCATTACTTAGGTCTAGGAAAGCTGCAAGGCAGGTGTCCTTTTTTTCAGCAGCGTTTAACCAAGTGTGGTAGTCCAATGCCAGTTGGTCCAGTGTAGAGTGTTTTGGCAGGAACCCAAATTGGTGCTTTGATATTAATCCATTGTCCAAGCAGAATGCCATCAGCTTGTCATTTATAATGCTCTCTAGGATTTTCACAATGCACGAGGTCAAAGATATTGGTCTGTAGCTGAACGGGCTTGATCTCTCGCCTTTACTCTTGTAGACTGGTGTCACATAAGCAGATTTCCATATTTGGGACAGTTTTGATGAGAAAAACGAAAGCTTAAAAAGGTGAGCGAGTACAGGTGTTAATTCAGCAGCACAGTTTTTAAGGTAAACATTTGGGACACCATCAGGCCCACTCGCTTTGTTAACATCAAGCTTCATTAACTTGCTGTACACACATTCAGGGGATATCTGTACATCTGTATATCTGTACATCAGTCAATATACCATTCTGGGTTTTGGCTCTGTAGGCAAACTGCAGGGGGTCCAGGAGGGGGGGGGGGGGGGGGGGGGGGGGGGGGGGGGAACTGCAGGGGGTCCAGGAGGGGGGAGGTGAACTGCAGGGGGTCCAGGAGGGGGGAGGTGAGGGACTTGAGATGGGAGAGAACCAGGCGTTCAAATGACTTCATGACGACAGACGTAAGTGCTACAGGTCTGTAGTCATTGAGTCCTGTGATCCTGGGCTTCTTCGGGACGGGGACAATGATGGAGGATTTGAAGCAGGCCGGGACATGGCAGGACTGCAGAGAGGTGTCCCGTGAACACAGGAGTAAGCTCACTGGGGCAGTGTCTCAGAGTGGCCGGAGACACGTGGTCCGGGCCAGGAGCTTTGCGGGGGTGCAGCCTCAGGAAGAGTTGTTTAGTCTCTTTAGAGGCTATTGTTAGGCTGGGGGCAGGGCTGATGGGTGGGTCGTTAGAGTAGTGGGGGGGGGAGGGAGAGGTGTCAGGGGCAGCATCAAAGCGACTGAAAAATAAGTTCAGATCGTCAGCTAGCTTGTGGTCGTCAGCACAGGGGGGGGCTTTGGGTTTGTAGTTGGTGATCTCCCGTAGGCCCCTCCAGACAGAAGCAGTATCGTTGTTACCAAACTGCTCCTGTAGTCGTTCTCTGTGCCGGGACTTGGCTGCTTTCAGTTCTTTCCTGAACTGATATTTAGCTGCTTTGTAGCCGCTGCGGTCCCCCTCCCTGAAAGCAGACTCCTTTGCTTTCCTGAGCTGCCGGAGTTTAGCAGTGAACCAGGGTTTGTCGTTGTTATAGATGACCCTGGTCCTTGTTGGAATGATGCTATCCTCACAGAAGTGAATGTATGACGTCAGAGAGAGAGACCAGAGAGAGACCAGAGAGACACCAGAGAGAGACCAGAGAGAGACCAGAGAGAGACCAGAGAGAGACCAGAGAGAGACCAGAGAGAGACCAGAGAGAGACCAGAGAGAGACCAGAGAGAGACCAGAGAGAGACCAGAGAGAGACCAGAGAGAGAGACCAGAGAGAGAGACCAGAGAGAGAGACCAGAGAGAGAGACCAGAGAGAGAGACCAGAGAGAGAGACCAGCGAGAGAGACCAGCGAGAGAGACCAGCGAGAGAGACCAGCGAGAGAGACCAGAGAGAGACCAGAGAGAGAGACCAGAGAGAGAGACCAGAGAGAGACCAGAGAGAGACCAGAGAGAGACCAGAGAGAGACCAGAGAGAGACCAGAGAGAGACCAGAGAGAGAGAGACCAGAGAGAGACCAGAGAGAGACCAGTAGAGAGACCAGTAGAGAGACCAGAGAGAGGGACCATTGGTGGGTTAGAGCTCTTTGTTGTGAATCCAGATATGACCATATAAGGACTGACCAATCAGGTGGTGTCTGTGTCAAACGTGGTTGAACTTTATTTTAATTTAATCCTCCTTTTCCACAGACAACAACTCTCTTCCTTTTATGGCGATGCTGAGAAACTTGAGGAACATGATCAAGGCCGGCATCAGCCCCACTCACCACGAGAAGGTCCTCCGCAGACTCACCAACAAGGTCAGAGGTCAAAGCTGTAGACCCAGGACTGAGGCTGTAGACCCAGCACTGAGGCTGTAGACCCAGGACTGAGGCTGTAGACCCAGGACTGAGGCTGTAGACCCAAGGACTGAGGCTGTAGACCCAGGACTGAGGCTGTGGACCCAGCACTGAGGCTGTAGACCCAGGACTGAGGCTGTAGACCCAGCACTGAGGCTGTAGACCCAGGACTGAGGCTGTAGACCCAGGACTGAGGCTGTAGACCCAAGGACTGAGGCTGTAGACCCAGGACTGAGGCTGTAGACCCAGGACTGAGGCTGTAGACCCAGGACTGAGACTGTGACTGTAGGTCCAGGACTGAGACTGTAGACCCAGGACTGAGACTGTAGACCCAGGACTGAGGCTGTAGACCCAGGACTGAGGCTGTAGACCCAAGGTCTCCTCCCAGTTGGACATGCACGGAACACCTCCACGTGGAGGAGCAGCGGTTCTACTTTGAGCTCCTACTGTGTGACTGAGATCCTCACCCTACCTCTGAGAGAGACAGACCAGAGAGCGAGACCAGAGCGAGACCAGAGCGAGACCAGAGCGAGACCAGAGCGAGACCAGAGCGAGACCAGAGGGAGACCAGAGCGAGAGAGAGACCAGAGAGAGACCAGAGAGAGACCAGAGAGACACCAGAGAGAGACCAGAGAGAGACCAGAGAGAGACCAGAGAGAGACCAGAGAGAGACCAGAGAGAGACCAGAGAGAGACCAGAGAGAGACCAGAGAGAGAGACCAGAGAGAGAGACCAGAGAGAGAGACCAGAGAGAGAGACCAGAGGAGAGAGAGACCAGAGAGAGAGACCCCTTCCTCTATCTCTAAGGGAGCTCCACTCTTGAATCCGCGGTCATAACCCAAAGCTCATGAGTAGAGGTGAGGGAGGGGACGTAGGGCTCAGACTGGAGACGCTGCTCCCTCTTACAATACCCTGTAACTCTTGTTTCTTCCTGATTTTACAGAAAGCCGTGATCCAAAGTCGTCAGTTTCCAATTCGGTTCCTATCTGCGTATAAAGTCATCATGGAGCTTCACACTTTAGGTGAGTCCAGAGACCGACGTGTGTAGACCCAGGACTGAGGCTGTAGACCCAGGACTGAGGCTGTAGACCCAGGACTGAGGCTGTAGACCCAGGACTGAGGCTGTAGACCCAGGACTGAGGCTGTAGACCCAGGACTGAGGCTGTAGACCCAGGACTGAGACTGTAGACCCAGGACTGAGGCCGTAGACCCAGGACTGAGGCTGTAGACCCAGGACTGAGGCCGTAGACCCAGGACTGAGGCTGTAGACCCAGGACTGAGGCTGTAGACCCAGGACTGAGGCTGTAGACCCAGGACTGAGGCTGTAGACCCAGGACTGAGACTGTAGACCCAGGACTGAGGCCGTAGACCCAGGACTGAGGCCGTAGACCCAGGACTGAGGCCGTAGACCCAGGACTGAGGCCGTAGACCCAGGTCCGAGAATGTAGACCCAGGTCTGGATGGTTGTTCTCCCTGTGCAGCTGTGGCGGCTGCAGACTCGGTCCCTTCCAGAGCAAACATCTTGAAGGAGGTTCTGAAGAAGTTTCCCAAAAGTGAGAAGTTCAAGAGTCTGGAGTGGGAGCAGACGACCAGGAAGCGTCTGCGCTGCACTCTGGCCGTTCCCCTGGTATACCATCTGTACAAGAGCAGGAGGAACCAGCTCCTCTCCGCGGCCAGGTACACTGCTCACCTGGTGCTCCGCTCACCTGGTACTCTGCTCACCTGGTACTCTGCTCACATGGTACTCTGCTCATCTTGTGCTCTTCTCACCTGGTGCTCTGCTCATCTGGTACTCTGCTCACATGGTACTCTGCTCATCTGGTACACTGCTCACCTGGTACTCTGCTCACCTGGTACAATGCTCACATGGTGCTCTGCTCACCTGGTACTCTGCTCACCTGGTACTATGCTCATCTGGTACTCTGCTCACCTGGTACTCTGCTCACCTGGTGCTCTGCTCACCTGGTGCTCTGCTCACCTGGTACTCTGCTCACCTGGTGCTCTGCTCACCTGGTACTCTGCTCACCTGGTGCTCTGCTCACCTGGTACTCTGCTCACCTGGTGCTCTGCTCACCTGGTACTCTGCCCACCTGGTGCTCTGCTCATCTGGTGCTCTGCTCACTTGGGGCTCTGCTCACCTGGTGCTCTGCTCACCTGGTGCTCTGCTCACCTGGTGCTCTGCTCACCTGGTGCTCTGCTCACCTGGTACTGTGCTCATCTGGTACTCTGCTCATCTGGTACTCTGCCCACCTGGTGCTCTGCTCATCTGGTGCTCTGCTCACTTGGGGCTCTGCTCACCTGGTGCTCTGCTCACCTGGTGCTCTGCTCACCTGGTGCTCTGCTCACCTGGTACTATGCTCATCTGGTACTCTGCTCATCTGGTACTCTGCTCACCTGGTACTGGTGCAGTCTGTTGATCTGAGGCAAACAAAGGTGGGATTCATTAAAGTAATGAAAATAATAATAATGGAATTGATTGAGAGAGAGAGAGGAGGGAGAGAGGAGAGAGAGGAGAGGCAGGGGGGAGAGAGAGAGAGAGGAGGGAGAGAGGAGAGGCAGGGGGGAGAGAGAGAGAGAGGAGAGGCAGGGGGGAGAGAGAGAGAGAGAGAGAGAGAGAGAGAGAGAGAGAGGAGGGAGAGAGGAGACAGAGGAGAGGCAGGGGGGAGAGAGAGAGAGAGAGAGAGAGAGAGGAGGGAGAGAGGAGACAGAGGAGAGGCAGGGGGGAGAGAGAGAGAGAGGAGGGAGAGAGGAGAGGCAGGGGGGAGAGAGAGGAGAGAGGAGAGGCAGGGGGGAGAGAGAGAGAGAGAGAGAGAGAGAGAGAGAGAGAGAGAGAGAGAGAGAGGAGGGAGGGAGGAGAGGAGACAGAGGAGAGGCAGGGGGAGAGAGAGAGAGAGAGAGAGAGAGAGAGAGAGAGGAGGGAGAGAGGAGACAGAGGAGAGGCAGGGGGGAGAGAGAGAGAGAGAGGAGAGGCAGGGGGGAGAGATGAGAGGCAGAGGAGAGAGAGGAGAGGCAGGGGGGAGAGAGAGAGAGAGGAGGGAGAGAGGAGAGAGAGGAGAGGCAGGGGGGAGAGAGGAGAGGCAGAGGAGAGAGAGGAGAGGCAGGGGGGGAGAGAGAGAGAGAGGAGAGGCAGGGGGGAGAGAGAGAGAGAGAGAGGGGGAGGGAGAGAGAAGAGGCAGGGGGGAGAGAGAGAGAGAGAGAGAGAGAGGAGGGAGAGAGGAGAGAGAGGAGAGTCAGGAGGGAGAGAGAGAGAGAGAGAGAGAGAGAGAGGAGAGGCAGGGGGGAGAGAGGAGAGAGAGGAGAGGCAGGGGGGAGAGAGGAGAGAGAGGAGAGGCAGGGGGGAGAGAGGAGAGAGAGGAGAGGCAGGGGGGAGAGGAGAGGCAGGGGAGAGAGAGGAGAGGCAGGGGGGAGAGAGGAGGGAGAGAGGAGAGGCAGGGGGAGAGAGGAGAGGCAGAGGAGAGAGAGAGAGAGAGAGAGAGAGAGAGAGGAGGGAGAGAGGAGAGAGAGGAGAGTCAGGGGGGAGAGAGAGAGAGAGAGAGAGAGGAGAGGCAGGGGGGAGAGAGGAGAGGCAGAGGAGAGAGAGGAGAGGCAGGGGGGAGAGAGAGAGAGGAGAGGCAGGGGGGAGCGAGAGAGAGAGGAGAGTCAGGGGGGAGAGAGAGAGAGAGAGAGAGGAGAGGCAGGGGGGAGAGAGGAGAGGCAGAGGAGAGAGAGGAGAGGCAGGGGGGAGAGAGAGAGAGAGGAGAGGCAGGGGGGAGAGAGGAGAGGCAGAGGAGAGAGAGGAGAGAGAGGAGAGGCAGGGGGGAGAGAGAGAGAGAGAGGAGAGGCAGGGGGGAGAGAGGAGAGGCAGAGGAGAGAGAGGAGAGGCAGGGGGGAGAGAGAGAGAGGAGAGAGAGGAGAGGCAGAGGAGAGAGAGGAGAGGCAGGGGGAGAGAGAGAGAGAGGAGAGAGAGGAGAGGCAGGGGGGAGAGAGAGAGAGAGAGAGAGGAGGGAGAGAGGAGAGGCAGGGGGGAGAGAGAGAGAGAGAGAGAGGAGAGGGAGAACATAGTAGGAGAGGAGAGAGAAAAAAGAGCACAGGGGATGAGAGGAGCGAGAGAGAACAGGAGTCAGAAGAGAGGGGAAAGAGTTAGGAGTGGAGAAATGAGAGAGTAGAGAGATGAGAGAGCAGAGAAATGAGAGAGCAGAGAAATGAGAGAGCAGAGAGATGAGAGAGCAGAGAGATGAGAGAGCAGAGAAATGAGAGAGCAGAGAAATGAGAGAGCAGAGAAATGAGAGAGCAGAGAGATGAGAGAGCAGAGAAATGAGAGAGCAGAGAAATGAGAGAGCAGAGAGATGAGAGAGCAGAGAAATGAGAGAGCAGAGAGATGAGAGAGTAGAGAAATGAGAGAGCAGAGAGATGAGAGAGCAGAGAGATGAGAGAGCAGAGAAATGAGAGAGCAGAGAAATGAGAGAGTAGAGAAATGAGAGAGCAGAGAAATGAGAGAGCAGAGAAATGAGAGAGAGCAGAGAAATGAGAGAGCAGAGAAATGAGAGAGAGCAGAGAAATGAGAGAGTAGAGAAATGAGAGAGCAGAGAAACGAGAGAGCAGAGAAATGAGAGAGCAGAGAAATGAGAGAGCAGAGAAATGAGAGAGCAGAGAAATGAGAGAGTAGAGAGATGAGAGAGCAGACTTTGACCGTGATACTCTCCCACAGTCAGACCTCCTTCTCGGTGGAGGTGCTGCAGAGGTACCGCTGTGCTCTGGAGGAGGCGGTGCAGATCTCCTGTCGCTACAACATCCCTCCTCTGCCCGGAAAGACCGTGGTCCTCCTCAGCGCCATGATGGACAGAGAGCACCTCCCCCAAGACTTCTGCCTCCCCCCGGACCCCGCCCAGCCCCAGGAGGAGGAGCAGGAGCAGCGGCGGGGCAGACGCAGGAAGAACCAGAAACCAGAGGATCCACTGGCTCCAACTGTGAGACCCTCCAACTCTCTCTCTGGTCTCTCTCTCTGGTCTCTCTCTCTGGTCTCTCTCTGGTCTCCCTCTGGTCTCTCTCTCTTGTCTCTCTCTGGTCTCTCTCTGGTCTCTCTCTGGTCTCCCTCTGGTCTCTCTCTCTTGTCTCTCTCTGGTCTCTCTCTGGTCTCCCTCTGGTCTCTCTCTGCTCTCTCTCTGGTCTCTCTCTCTGGTCTCTCTCTGGTTTCTCTCTGGTCTCTCTCTCTGGTCTCTCTCTCTGGTCTCTCTCTCTGGTCTCTCTCTGGTCTCTCTCTGGTCTCTCTCTGGTCTCTCTCTGCTCTCTCTCTGCTCTCTCTCTGGTCTCTCTCTGGTCTCTCTCTGGTCTCTCTCTGGTCTCTCTCTGGTCTCTCTCTGGTCTCTCTCTGGTCTCTCTCTCTGGTCTCTCTCTCTGGTCTCTCTCTGGTCTCTCTTTGTTCTCTCTCTGCTCTCTCTCTGCTCTCTCTCTGGTCTCTCTCTGGTCTCTCTCTCTGGCCTCTCTCTCTGGTCTCTCTCTCTGGTCTCTCTCTGGTCTCTCTCTCTGGCCTCTCTCTCTGGTCTCTCTCTCTGGTCTCTCTCTGGTCTCTCTCATGTCTTTCTCTGGTCTCTCTCTCTCTCTCTCTGGTCTCTCTCTTGTCTCTCTCTGGTCTGTCTCTGGTCTCTCTCTGGTCTCTCTCTGGTCTCTCTCTGGTCTCTCTCTCTTGTCTTTCTCTGGTCTCTCTCTGCTCTCTCTCTGGTCTCTCTCTCTCTCTCTCTGGTCTCTCTCTTGTCTCTCTCTGGTCTGTCTCTGGTCTCTCTCTGGTCTCTCTCTGGTCTCTCTCTGGTCTCTCTCTCTTGTCTTTCTCTGGTCTCTCTCTGCTCTCTCTCTGCTCTCTCTCTGCTCTCTCTCATGTCTTTCTCTGGTCTCTCTCTGCTCTCTCTCTGCTCTCTCTCTGCTCTCTCTCATGTCTTTCTCTGGTCTCTGGTCTCTCTCTGGTGTCTGTCATGATGGTACCATGTGTGTTCCAGCTGGTAGAGGTGGGAGCCCTGCTGTCAGTGATGGTAGGCAGCAGTGCAGAGGACTTCAGTCTGGTCCTCACAGACTACCACACGTGGGAGGAGGTGCCCCTGGACTCAGACCTCCTGCTGCAGAACGTCCGCACGGTCACCAGGAGGATCAAGGTGTGGCGCAAACCAGAGACACTTACCAGTGAGACTTACCAGAGACACTTACCAGAGACACAAACCAGAGACACTTACCAGTGAGACTTACCAGAGACACTTACCAGAGACACAAACCAGAGACACTTACCAGTGAGACTTACCAGAGACACTTACCAGTGAGACTTACCAGTGAGACTTACCAGAGACACTTACCAGAGACACTTACCAGAGACACAAACCAGAGACACTTACCAGTGAGACTTACCAGAGACACTTACCAGAGACACAAACCAGAGACACTTACCAGTGAGACTTACCAGAGACACTTACCAGTGAGACTTACCAGTGAGACTTACCAGAGACACTTACCAGAGACACTTACCAGAGACACTTACCAGTGAGACTTACCAGAGACACTTACCAGAGACACTTACCAGAGACACTTACCAGTGAGACTTACCAGTGAGACTTACCAGAGACACTTACCAGTGAGACTTACCAGTGAGACTTACCAGAGACACTTACCAGTGAGACTTACCAGTGAGACTTACCAGTGAGACTTACCAGTGAGACTTACCAGTGAGACTTACCAGAGACACTTACCAGTGAGACTTACCAGAGACACTTACCAGTGAGACTTACCAGTGAGACTTACCAGAGACACTTACCAGTGAGACTTACCAGTGAGACTTACCAGAGACACTTACCAGTGAGACTTACCAGAGACACTTACCAGTGAGACTTACCAGAGACACTTACCAGTGAGACTTACCAGAGACACTTACCAGTGAGACTTACCAGAGACACTTACCAGTGAGACTTACCAGTGAGACTTACCAGAGACACTTACCAGTGAGACTTACCAGAGACACAAACCAGAGACACAAACCAGAGACACTTACCAGTGAGACTTACCAGAGACACAAACCAGAGACACTTACCAGTGAGACTTACCAGAGACACTTACCAGTGAGACTTACCAGTGAGACTTACCAGAGACACTTACCAGTGAGACTTACCAGTGAGACTTACCAGAGACACTTACCAGTGAGACTTACCAGTGAGACTTACCAGTGAGACTTACCAGTGAGACTTACCAGAGACACTTACCAGTGAGACTTACCAGAGACACTTACCAGTGAGACTTACCAGTGAGACTTACCAGAGACACTTACCAGTGAGACTTACCAGTGAGACTTACCAGAGACACTTACCAGTGAGACTTACCAGAGACACTTACCAGTGAGACTTACCAGAGACACTTACCAGTGAGACTTACCAGAGACACTTACCAGTGAGACTTACCAGTGAGACTTACCAGAGACACTTACCAGTGAGACTTACCAGAGACACAAACCAGAGACACAAACCAGAGACACTTACCAGTGAGACTTACCAGAGACACAAACCAGAGACACTTACCAGTGAGACTTACCAGAGACACTTACCAGTGAGACTTACCAGTGAGACTTACCAGAGAGAGTTACCAGAGACACAAACCAGAGACACAAACCAGAGAGACTTACCAGAGACACAAATCAGAGACACAAACCAGAGACACTTACCAGTGAGACTTACCAGAGACACTTACCAGTGAGACTTACCAGTGAGACTTACCAGAGACACAAATCAGAGACACAAACCAGAGACACTTACCAGTGAGACTTACCAGAGACACTTACCAGTGAGACTTACCAGTGAGACTTACCAGAGACACAAATCAGAGACACAAACCAGAGACACTTACCAGTGAGACTTACCAGTGAGACTTACCAGAGACACTTACCAGTGAGACTTACCAGAGACACAAACCAGAGACACTTACCAGTGAGACTTACCAGAGACACAAACCAGTGACATTTACCAGTGAGACTTACCAGAGACACAAACCAAAGACACTTACCAGTGAGACTTACCAGAGACACAAACCAGAGACACTTACCAGTGAGACTTACCAGATACACAAACCAGTGACATTTACCAGTGAGACTTACCAGAGACACAAACCAGAGACACTTACCAGTGAGACTTACCAGAGACACTTACCAGTGAGACTTACCAGTGAGACTTACCAGAGAGAGTTACCAGAGACACAAACCAGAGACACAAACCAGAGAGACTTACCAGAGACACAAACCAGAGACACAAACCAGAGACACTTACCAGTGAGACTTACCAGAGACACTTACCAGTGAGACTTACCAGTGAGACTTACCAGAGACACAAATCAGAGACACAAACCAGAGACACTTACCAGTGAGACTTACCAGTGAGACTTACCAGAGACACTTACCAGTGAGACTTACCAGAGACACAAACCAGAGACACTTACCAGTGAGACTTACCAGAGACACAAACCAGTGACATTTACCAGTGAGACTTACCAGAGACACAAACCAGAGACACTTACCAGTGAGACTTACCAGAGACACAAACCAGAGACACTTACCAGTGAGACTTACCAGATACACAAACCAGTGACATTTACCAGTGAGACTTACCAGAGACACAAACCAGAGACACTTACCAGTGAGACTTACCAGAGACACTTACCAGTGAGACTTACCAGAAACACAAACCAGTGACATTTACCAGTGACGCTTCCCAGCTGATGGTTCGTCTCTGTGGGCCAGTTGAAGCTAGCAGACAGAGACCGAGATGCTAACACGCTAGCACAAAGAAGCTAGGGAAGTGTTTTCTCCTTCTCTCTTATTTTACTGGTCTAATACAAAACTGGTCTCTCTGGTCCTTCTCTGGTCTCTCTCTCTCTCTCTCTCTCTAGTCTCTCTCTCTGGTCTCTCTATCTCTGGTCTCTCTCTCTCTAGTCTCTCTCTCTGGTCTCTCTCTCTCTCTAGTCTCTCTCTCTCTGGTCTCTCTCTCTCTGGTATCTCTCTCTCTAGTGTCTCTCTCTGGTCTCTCTCTCTCTGGCCATAGAGAAAGACCAGAGAGAGAGAGCAGAGAGAGAGAGAGACCAGAGAGAGAGAGAGACCATGGATATATCGTATTGAACTAAACACTGGTTGTTTGTGTTTTGTAGAAAATTTCAAACATGACTTTTGAGGAAGATGTGCTTCGGGAAAAGATGGCGCCATTTCGTCTGTCGGAGCAGAACAAGGTCCTTCTCTCTCTCCTCTGTACGATCTATATATACACTCTGTACGATCTATATATACACTCTGTACGATCTATATATACACTCTGTACGATCTATATATACACTCTGTACGATCTATATATACACTCTGTACGATCTATATATACACTCTGTACGATCTATATACACTCTGTACGATCTATATACACTCTGTACGATCTATATACACTCTGTACGATCTATATACACTCTGTACGATCTATATACACTCTGTACGATCTATATATACACTCTGTACGATCTATATACACTCTGTACGATCTATATACACTCTGTACGATCTATATACACTCTGTACGATCTATATACACTCTGTACGATCTATATACACTCTGTACGATCTATATATACACTCTGTACGATCTATATACACTCTGTACGATCTATATACACTCTGTACGATCTATATACACTCTGTACGATCTATATACACTCTGTACGATCTATATACACTCTGTACGATCTATATACACTCTGTACGATCTATATACACTCTGTACGATCTATATATACACTCTGTACGATCTATATACACACTCTGTACGATCTATATACACTCTGTACGATCTATATACACTCTGTACGATCTATATACACTCTGTACGATCTATATACACTCTGTACGATCTATATACACTCTGTACGATCTATATACACTCTGTACGATCTATATATACACTCTGTACGATCTATATACACACTCTGTACGATCTATATATACACTCTGTACGATCTATATACACTCTGTACGATCTATATACACTCTGTACGATCTATATATACACTCTGTACGATCTATATACACTCTGTACGATCTATATATACACTCTGTACGTTCTATATATACACTCTGTACGATCTATATACACTCTGTACGATCTATATACACTCTGTACGATCTATATATACACTCTGTACGATCTATATATACACTCTGTACGTTCTATATATACACTCTGTACGATCTATATACACTCTGTACGATCTATATACACTCTGTACGATCTATATATACACTCTGTACGATCTATATATACACTGTACGATCTATATACACTCTGTACGATCTATATATACACTCTGTACGATCTATATATACACTCTGTACGATCTATATATACACTGTACGATCTATATATACACTGTACGATCTATATATACACTCTGTACGATCTATATATACACTCTGTACGATCTATATATACACTGTACGATCTATATATACACTGTACGATCTATATATACACTCTGTACGATCTATATATACACTCTGTACGATCTATATATACACTCTGTACGATCTATATATACACTCTGTACGATCTATATATACACTCTGTACGATCTATATATACACTCTGTACGTTCTATATATACACTCTGTACGATCTATATACACTCTGTACGATCTATATACACTCTGTACGATCTATATATACACTCTGTACGATCTATATATACACTGTACGATCTATATACACTCTGTACGATCTATATATACACTCTGTACGATCTATATATACACTCTGTACGATCTATATATACACTGTACGATCTATATATACACTGTACGATCTATATATACACTCTGTACGATCTATATATACACTCTGTACGATCTATATATACACTGTACGATCTATATATACACTGTACGATCTATATATACACTCTGTACGATCTATATATACACTCTGTACGATCTATATATACACTCTGTACGATCTATATATACACTCTGTACGATCTATATATACACTCTGTACGATCTATATATACACTCTGTACGATCTATATACACTCTGTACGATCTATATATACACTCTGTACGATCTATATATACACTCTGTACGATCTATATATACACTGTACGATCTATATATACACTGTACGATCTATATATACACTGTACGATCTATATATACACTCTGTACGATCTATATATACACTCTGTACGATCTATATACACTCTGTACGATCTATATATACACTCTGTACGATCTATATATACACTGTACGATCTATATATACACTGTACGATCTATATATACACTCTGTACGATCTATATATACACTCTGTACGATCTATATATACACTCTGTACGATCTATATACACTCTGTACGATCTATATATACACTCTGTACGATCTATATACACTCTGTACGATCTATATATACACTCTGTACGATCTATATATACACTCTGTACGATCTATATACACTCTGTACGATCTATATACACACTGTACGATCTACAGTGCCTTGCGAAAGTATTCGGCCCCCTTCAACCTCTCAACATTTCGCCACATTTCAGGCTTCAAACATAAAGATATAAAATTTTAATTTTTTGTCATGAATCAACAACAAGTGGGACACAATCGTGAAGTGGAACGAAATTTATTGGATAATTTAAACTTTTTTAACAAATAAAAAACTGAAAAGTGGGGCGTGCAATATTATTGGGCCCCTTTACTTTCAGTGCAGCAAACTCAGTCCAGAAGTTCAGTGAGGATCTTTGAATGATCCAATGTTGTCCTAAATGACTGATGATGATAAATAGAATGCACCTGTGTGTAATCAAGTCTCTGTATAAATGCACCTGCTCTTTGATAGTCTCAGGGTTCTGTTTAAAGCACAGAGAGAACCATGAAGACAAAGGAACACACCAGGCAGGTCCCAGATACTGTTGTGGACAAGTTTAAAGCCGGATTTGGATACAAAAAGATTTCCCAAGCTTTAAACATCTCAAGGAGCACTGTGCAAGCAATTATATTGAAATGGAAGGAGTATCAGACCACTGCAAATCTACCAAGACCCGGCCGTCCCTCCAAACTTTCATCTCAAACAAGGAGAAGACTGATCAGAGATGCAGCCAAGAGGCCCATGATCACTCTGGATGAACTGCAGATAACTACAGCTGAGGTGGGGATGGTGTGTTCAGGGTGATGAGCTGTGTTGCTTTTACGCCAAACATATCGTTTTGCATTGTGGCCAAAAAGTTCCATTTTGGTTTCATCTGACCAGAGCACCTTCTTCCACATGTTTGGTGTGTCTCCCAGGTGGCTTGTGGCAAACTTTAAACGAGACTTTTTATGGATATCTTTGAGAAATGGCCACTCTTCCAAGGCCAGATTTGTGCAGTGCACGACTGATTGTTGTCCTATGGACAGACTCTCCCACCTCAGCTGTAGTTATCTGCAGTTCATCCAGAGTGATCATGGGCCTCTTGGCTGCATCTCAGATCAGTCTTCTCCTTGTTTGAGATGAAAGTTTGGAGGGACGTCCGGGTCTTGGTAGATTTGCAGTGGTTTGATACTCCTTCCATTTCAATATAATTGCTTGCACAGTGCTCCTTGAGATGTTTAAAGCTTGGGAAATCTTTTTGTATCCAAATCCGGCTTTAAACTTCTCCACAACAGTATCTCGGACCTGCCTGGTGTGTTCCTTTGTCTTCATGGTTCTCTCTGTGCTTTAAACAGAACCCTGAGACTATCAAAGAGCAGGTGCATTTATACGGAGACTTGATTACACACAGGTGCATTCTATTTATCATCATCAGTCATTTAGGACAACATTGGATCATTCAAAGATCCTCACTGAACTTCTGGACTGAGTTTGCTGCACTGAAAGTAAAGGGGCCCAATAATATTGCACGCCCCACTTTTCAGTTTTTTATTTGTTAAAAAAGTTTAAATTATCCAATAAATTTCGTTCCACTTCAGGATTGTGTCCCACTTGTTGTTGATTCATGACAAAAAAATAAAATTTTATATCTTTATGTTTGAAGCCTGAAATGTGGCGAAATGTTGAAAGGTTCAAGGGGGCCGAATACTTTCGCAAGGCACTGTATATATACACACTGTACGATCTATATATACACACACTGTACGATCTATATATACACACACTGTACGATCTATATATACACACACTGTGCGATCTATATATACACACACTGTAGTATGTGTATATACATACACAAGTATTTATATATACACACACCGTAGTTATACATACACTGTAGTATTTACATATACATACACTGTAGTATTTATATATATAAATTAATTACACTGTAGTATTTATATATAAATAAACTATTATGTATATATAACCATTTGGGACCAGGTGGATACCATCGTCGTAGTCACCGACAGGCCCAACAGTGAGGTCGATTGGAGGATTCAGAGATACAGAGAGGAGGCTGACACCCGAGCTCTGCACGTGGACATCCAAATCAAGGCCAAGTAACTCTTACACAAAACAGTATTTAGTCAGCACCAGGTGTGCAACTTCTCCCACTTAAAAAGACAAGGGAGCCCTGTAATTTCCATCATAGACAAACCTCAACTATGAAAGACAGAATGAGAGGGAAACCTGCTGTAGAGTCTTCCCAGTCTGGTGCAGGTCTACAGCTGCTTACCTACTGCAGAGTCTTCCCAGTCTGGTGCAGGTCTACAGCTGCTTACCTACTGCACAGTCTTCCCAGTCTGGTGCAGGTCTACAGCTGCTTACCTACTGCACAGTCTTCCCAGTCTGGTGCAGGTCTACAGCTGCTTACCTACTGCACAGTCTTCCCAGTCTGGTGCAGGTCTACAGCTGCTTACCTACTGCAGAGTCTTCCCAGTCTGGTGCAGGTCTACAGCTGCTTACCTACTGCAGTGTCTTCCCATCTGGTGCAGGTCTACAGCTGCTTACCTACTGCACAGTCTTCCCAGTCTGGTGCAGGTCTACAGCTGCTTACCTACTGCACAGTTTTCCCAGTCTGGTGCAGGTCTACAGCTGCTTACCTACTGCAGTGTCTTCCCATCTGGTGCAGGTCTACAGCTGCTTACCTACTGCACAGTTTTCCCAGCCTGGTGCAGGTCTACAGCTGCTTACCTACTGCACAGTTTTCCCAGCCTGGTGCAGGTCTACAGCTGCTTACCTACTGCACAGTTTTCCCAGCCTGGTGCAGGTTTACAGCTGCTTACCTACTGCACAGTCTTCCCAGTCTGGTGCAGGTCTACAGCTGCTTACCTACTGCACAGTCTTCCCATCTGGTGCAGGTCTACAGCTGCTTACCTACTGCAGAGTCTTCCCAGTCTGGTGCAGGTCTACAGCTGCTTACCTACTGCACAGTTTTCCCAGCCTGGTGCAGGTCTACAGCTGCTTACCTACTGCACAGTCTTCCCATCTGGTGCAGGTCTACAGCTGCTTACCTACTGCACAGTCTTCCCAGTCTGGTGCAGGTCTACAGCTGCTTACCTACTGCACAGTCTTCCCAGTCTGGTGCAGGTCTACAGTGTTGTTTGCAGTGTGAGTGTTGGAGGCTGTGGACAGGAGTCTTTCAGACTGAGTTCAAACAGGTTTAATACAGGAGCTACAGTCTGTGGCACTTTGGTCTTAAAGAAGGAGCTACAGTCTGTGGCACTTTATACCTGTCCACGTCCTGCGGCCGCTGTGTGGCCTCAGTCCTGGGTCTACAGCCTCAGTCCTGGGTCCACAGCCTCAGTCCTGGGTCTACAGCCCTCAGTCCTGGGTCTGCAGCCTCAGTCCTGGGTCTACAGCCTCAGTCCTGGGTCTACAGCCTCAGTCCTGGGTCTGCAGCCTCAGTCCTGGGTCCACAGCCTCAGTCCTGGGTCTGCAGCCTCAGTCCTGGGTCTGCAGCCTCAGTCCTGGGTCTACAGACTCAGTCCTGGGTCTACAGCCTCAGTCCTGGGTCTGCAGCCTCAGTCCTGGGTCTACAGCCTCAGTCCTGGATCTACAGCCTCAGTCCTGGGTCTACAGCCTCAGTCCTGGGTCTACAGCCTCAGTCCTGGGTCTGCAGCCTCAGTCCTGGGTCTACAGCCTCAGTCCTGGGTCTACAGCCTCAGTCCTGGGTCTACAGCCTCAGTCCTGGGTCTACAGACTCAGTCCTGGGTCTACAGCCTCAGTCCTGGGTCTACAGCCTCAGTCCTGGGTCTACAGCCTCAGTCCTGGGTCTACAGCCTCAGTCCTGGGTCTACAGCCTCAGTCCTGGGTCTACAGCCTCAGTCCTGGGTCTACAGCCTCAGTCCTGGGTCTACAGCCTCAGTCCTGGGTCTACAGCCTCAGTCCTGGGTCTACAGCCTCAGTCCTGGGTCTACAGCCTCAGTCCTCGTTCTACAGTCTGATCCAGGACACAGGCCTTGACTCTTTAAGTGGCAGAACTGGTGCTGAAAAAAAAATACCATTGTATCTGTCCATGTGGAGATGTTAACAACAGGTGTGTGTCTGTGTGTCTGTGTCTGTGTGTCTGTGTGTGTCTGTCTGTGTGTCTGTGTCTGTGTGTGTCTGTCTGTGTGTCTGTGTCTGTGTGTGTCTGTGTGTCTGTCTGTGTGTCTGTGTGTGTCTGTGTGTGTGTGTCTGTGTCTGTGTGTGTCTGTCTGTGTGTGTGTCTGTGTGGGTGTGTCTGTGTATGTGTGTGTGTCTGTGTGTGTGTGTCTGTGTCTGTGTGTGTGTCTGTGTGTGTGTGTCTGTGTCTGTGTGTGTCTGTGTGTGTGTGTCTGTGTCTGTGTGTGTCTGTCTGTGTGTCTGTGAATGTGTCTGTGTGTGTGGGTGTGTCTGTGTATGTGTGTGTGTCTGTGTATGTGTGTGTGTCTGTGTCTGTGTGTCTGTGTGTGTGTGTCTGTGTGTGTGTGTGTCTGTCTGTGTGTCTGTCTGTGTGTCTGTGTGTGTGGGTGTGTCTGTGTATGTGTGTGTGTCTGTGTGTGTGTGTCTGTGTCTGTGTGTGTGTCTGTGTGTGTGTGTCTGTGTGTGTGCGTGTCTGTGTGTGTGTGTGTGTCTGTCTGTGTGTGTGTCTGTGTGTGTGTCTGTGTGTGTCTGTGTGTGTCTGTGTCTGTGTGTGTATCAGTGAGTATCGTTCCCACAGAGAGAGCAGATTCCCAGATCCAAACTTGGTGGAGTTGTCGGGTTTCAGTGAC